GTAGTAGTAGTAGTAGTAGTAGTAGTAGTAGTAGTAGTAGTAGTAGTCGTAGTCGTGGTCGTGGTCGTGGTCGTGGTCGTGGTAGTGGTAGTGGTAGTGGTGGTGGTAGTGGTGGTAGTGGGAGTAGTCGTAGTGGGAGTAGTCGTAGTGGGAGTGGGAGTTGGGAGTAGGAGTAGTAGGAGTAGTAGGAGTAGTAGGAGTAGTAGGAGCAGTAGGAGCAGTAGGAGCAGTAGGAGCAGTAGGAGCAGTAGGAGCAGTAGGAGTAGTAGGAGTAGTAGGAGCAGTAGGAGTAATAGGAGTAGGAGTAGGAGTAGGAGTAGCAGTAGCAGTAGCAGTAGCAGTAGGAGTAGGAGTAGGAGTAGTAGTAGTCGTCGTCGTCGTCGTCGTAGTAGTAGTACTACATTACTTCGACTACACTACTACGATTACCTCTACCATCACGACTATCACCACGACGACGACGCCATCCGGAGTTTTGCCCCAGGATTGTTTGGCACCTTCTTCATGGTCTTTTTGCTTCGGGCCAGGCCGGATCCCGGGCTAGGGGAAGTCTGTAATCAAGAGGGCGAGCTGTGCATGCTGGGATCCATTTGGTTACGTAGAAGAAGGACAGAACCTTGGCCAGACCTGGTAAAAGAAACAACCATTGGTTGTGGGGCCAAAACACACCCGTTTGTCCAGCGATTGTACCCTCTCAGGGTTAAGGTTCCCATGGTTCCGAGTGCAGAACTTCTCCTTGGACAAATGTTTTTCAAACCTTTTGCACCAGTTCGACGTTTGGTTCTCGGGTACTTGCATGTGAAGAGAATTAACCAAACCTCTCATGCAGAGTTGGCTGTTACATTCCTTTGCCATGTGGCTTTGCAGCATTGGCAACCCAGTGTTGGATGCCCAAAAGAGCACATACTGGACCAATCATCTCTGTGCGTTTGATGTAGTTTCCAAGCTTTTGCTGTATTTATTTGTTTCGTTCATGAAAAGGATCTCATTCCACATCCCGCGGGAACCATTATATATTAAAAAGAGAGCCAGGGGGGAAATCAACACCTGCAGTGGGCATGACTACTTGTTGAAGAACCAGGACGTGCCCCAGGAAACTCCAGGTGTTCCACAGGTGTTCAAAGGTTTGTCATCAGCTGTTGCTTGCTTCGCGTTTGGGGAACGCATCCTAAGTGAGCAATGCCGCAGAGTTGAATGGAGTTGAATGCCAGAAGTCCTGTCGGAAGCGCACCGCACCTGTCGCTTGGTTTTTGATTTCATGAGGCAATGAAGGCAATGAACCGAAACTCATGTGTGTGTGTGTGTGCGGTTTGTGTTTTTCCCTTTAGTTCCAGGCGTCTTTGGGGTGTCCCCTCCGTTTTGGAGGTGACTCTCGTAAAACTTCCGCATCTCAGTGGTCAGTAGAACTTGCGCCACGATCCTATTTTTGGCTCACGCAAATCCTGGGAAGCCATCCTCACTGTCCCCACTTGTCCCTGCTTTTCAAGCAGGTCTACGAGTTCTGCCACGTCTACACTTCGCTCGTCCGCCGTCCTGTCCATCGGCGCTCAACATCCCAAGCCACCGAAGCAGCAGCACAACCCCAGGTGGCGGGTGGTGCTCGGCTGCGTTGTGGGCGGTGCTGCAAGAGTTGTCGCATGCCCGGCCAAGAAAACGGAGCAAGAGGAGTTTTTGGATGCCCAAGCGAAGATACCAGTGAACCGCTGGCAAGATTTGTGAAAGATGTTGGTTGATGTTTTGGAGGCTTTCTTTATGTTCTTTTTCACGTGGTGGTTCGGAGGGCTTATTTGAAGCTGTTGGATGTAGGTTGAAGTGAGTCCTCGCCCTCCTTTCGATGAGCTTGGAGAGTCATGGACAAGTGCACAGCTGGACAAAGGGATATTGACTGCCTTGCATCAACAGGGCTTCAGGCGACCTACAGCTTCCCAAAGGTGGGCAGTTCCATTGCTGCTGTCTGGAAAGGACGTCATGGTTTGCTCACAGACCGGCTCAGGAAAGACGCTGGCTTACGTCGTCCCATTGTTTCTGAGCAGCAAAGCAACTCTGTGTTTCTGCTCCCAACTCCAATGCATTTTGTTCATAGGCAACAACTAAGAGATGCAAAGAGAGCGGAGGCCCTCCTTCTGTATTTCCAGATGTGTCGGGGCTGTGTCGAGTGGGCGGTATCGCCACGGATCACCTAGGATTCAATTGCTGTGCAGACGTCGACCAAAGAGTCGATCAAAAGTGGCATCGCCCGGTGCAGTGGTGATTGCCCCCACGCGAGAACTCGCAGCTCAGATTGCCTCCGAAGCCGCTGCGTTGCTTCAAGGAATGCAACTGCAAGTTGCATGCATCTTCGGTGGTGTCCCATATAGATCCAGCAACAAGACAGAAAAAATGCGAAAAATGTTTGCCAAGTTTAAGGATGTCAACCAGTGGTTGATTGGGGTCCGTATGTGGGGGCGCAGTGTTCTTGTTTTAGCATTTTAGAAAACTACTTTAGTATCGGACAGACTTTGAAATGGTAGAGCACTTTCCCATGTTGCCATATGGCTAGTTGTTGGTGTTTTCACCACTACATCACAGGCAAGTTGGTGCTTCAGAATGGGTCGGACCTACTGGTAGCTACACCTGGCCGCTTGGAGGATGCTTGTTTGCGGGGCGATGTCCAACTGCGTGATGTTCAAGCAGCTGTGTTGGATGAGGCAGACCGGTTGTTGGATTTGGGCTTTGAAGATCAGCGCCTTCTCTCTGAAGGATTTGTGTGCCTTTTGACATTTCTGTGCCTGATTTTGTGGGACGTTCTTCTCATACCGTTGAGTGGGTAGGTTTGGGCCTCAACGGGCACTGCATGCCTAAACCTAAACCTTTCTTTGCGCAAACCTATATAACCAAGTTGGCAGCGCTGAGGATCCGCATCCTGTTGACCCGCAGAATGGCCAAGACCGGGGAAGGAAGGCAAACAGCGATGTTCAGTGCAACATTCGGAACGGGAGTACAACACTTGGCAGCCGACTTTTTGGATGCATATACCTTCGTAGCAGTGGGGCGAGTGGGCAGTGCTGCACAGACCGTCTCCAGTCAGAAGTCGTAGGTACTCTTGCTTTCACAGAGAACTTTTCATGGTTAACCTGGAGAGAGAAGCCTAGGGTAGATCGTGGAGAATCATGGGGGGTATCCCTCAAGAGACTCATAGGGTGCTATGGCCTGATGTGACCTGGTCGTCACAATCCACATCAATCCACTACCGTGTTATGTCCTTCGCCATGAGGGTTTGCGATGCAGACACCGGGATCTTGCCCATGTTTGAGGGCTAGCTTGGCCCAAAAGACGCTGCAGCTTCCCATACGTGCGGACTAGGTGTTGAAAGAAGTAGATTTGTGCGGTTGAGACATGCCGTTTGTATGAGTCCAGTGGTTTGTTGGCATCTCATGATCCTTCCTTCGCATCCCAAGGTCGAACAGCGTTTGGTTTGGGTTGAGGATGATGCCAAGCCCCAGGCTTTGCTCGGTGCATTGTTGGCCCTGGAGCAAAGGACCACTGTGGCTGGTGCCGGCGCCCAGGTGATGCCGTGTGCAGTGGTGTTTGTGAACACCAAGGATGCGGCTCGACTGGTAGAGCAAAGGGTTCGTGGCTGGAAGTTCCAATGCTTTTCGATCCATGGAGATAAGAAGCAGGAAGCTCGAGAAGAGGCTTTAGGCCGCTTCCAAGCTCACATTGAAGGCCGCTTCTTCGCACCACGAGTGCAGAAGCCTCACCGTGGTGCGTCAGACCGCGCGGAGTCTCGCCGCGACCGCCCAAAAGGCGCAGTGGTGCTGGTGGCCACCGATGTCGCAGCACGTGGACTTGACATTCCGAACATCTCGTGTGCGACCTGGTTTGGCTGATCAGGTGGATGTTTTATGATGTGTTTCTTTTCTCTATGACCAAACTCCCCTTCTGGTGAACATGTCTTGCTGTTTCCAGGTTCCTCAAGCAAATCCAAGGTGATTCATTACGACCTGCCCCGCAGGATTGATGACTATGTGCATCGCTCGGGTCGCACCGGTCGATTCGGCCGCAGTGGTATGTCCATTGGCTTCGCCAATGCGGCGGCCAAGGGGATCAGTGGTGATTTGGCGAAAGGCTTGGTCGAAGCTGGAACCCAGCCTCCTCCCTGGCTGATAGGAATGGCGATTTCTGCAGGCATAGCAGTGGAAGACCTTCAAAAGCTGGCTTGGTCTCGGCCAGGTGAAGAGACGCAAGGTCTCAGCCACGCTTCCCAAAGCTATGGAGCACAAGATGTGCGCCTCAAAGGAGCCGGCCTGCAAACGGCGGTCGAACGACGAGAAGCTCAGAAGCTTCGGAGCTTCGCAGCAGATGCCTATGGAAGAGAAAAGGATTTGGCTGATGTGAGAGAGTTGTTTTGGACCACTACTGTGTTTTTGATCAACACATTGAAGCCGTCTTGTCCTTCTTTGCAAGCAGGTGCTTTTGGCTACCTTTTCCCTCTTGGTGCTCGCAATCTACATTGCTGGATGCATTGGCCTGGGCCTCGGACCATACCACCCGGCTAAACCATACCGATCCATACCAGGTGAATTCGGGTGAGCCATGGCCAGGCATCCCAATTTGGATTTGCAAATGGAATTCTGGCATGTGCAAATTGACAAGTTGCCCTTAGCCAGGGTCATTGGCTTCACGAATGGTTGCATAAGAATGGTCATGTGACAGACCATGTGTTGCTTGCTTCGTGCCTCGCCTAAGACTAGCGGTGACCTTGCGAAGCACCGCACCAAGACCTGCCTAGTGCCTAGGTGTGGAAATCATCACCAAGGATGAGACCCTGAGAAATAGTCCGATTGTTGGAGGGCACCTTCAGCTGAAGAAGCGTTAGCGGACGGAGCGGACGGGACGTGGGCGAACGTCGTCCTTTTCTTCGTCGATGAATCCGAGTCGAGTCGTATGAATCGTCTTTTTCGATCGATGCGTGTGGGTTTTCCAGATGAATGATAGTCTTGTTCATTCTTGTCTCAAGGCATTTTGTGTTGTCTTGGCCATCAGACTCTAGTTTGTATGTTGTGTCCAGACATCCAAGCTCTGCAAGTCATCCAAACGACACACATTAACCCGGTCAGGATCTCAGCGATGGGGCAACGTACGCCGTAGATGGGGCACTTCCGTCAGCAGATGGGGCACTCATGCACCAGCGGCCAAAACTCTCTTCATGCAGGTGCAGGTTCAAGGGGTATGTGACTGACGCTATGTGCAGCATGCCATGATGCACTTGGTGACCTGACCGTCCCTGACCTGTGTGACTGACCTTTGTCCAATTGTCACCCATCCAATCCACCGCACAGCCTGATGATCCTGATCCTGCCTGACACTCACGACCCAGGATCGTTGCCAATAGCTTTGGCAGCCTGAGACTGACGATGCTCACCTTGGTGCAGTTTCACGGCTCCATCGACCGATTTTATTCATAAATGCAGGGCACCCCCTTCATGTCAGCCTGCCAGAAAATGCCATGTAACATGTTTGGAGGTCCAAGTGGAAGAGTCACTCGACCATGTCAATTTTGAGTCCTTGCTTCGGCTGCTTGGATCGGCGCACTAGGTTCATTACCTTGGACTCGATCTATCAGACGCTCAGCTGCCAAGACGATCGCAAATGGTCGATGCGTCATGATGCCTCGATGCAGAGCGAGAGAGAGAGAGAGAGGAAGAGAGAGGAAGAGAGAGGAAGAGAGAGGAAGAGAGA